ATGGCTCCAAAGCCGATCTCGAGAGGTGATTTGCTCAGCAAGTTCGATACATTCCTTTTTGACGCCGATGGTGTTCTATGGACCGATGATATTCCCATCGCCGGAGCGATTGATTTTGTCTCCACTTTGGCAAACGCGGGCAAAAGGATTTTTATCATTAGTAATAACTCAACGAAGACTCCAGAGCAGTACATGGCAAAGATAGAACATCTGGGGTTCAAGGGTGTCACGATGGAGCAACTAATCACCCCTGCTATTGTGCTAGCCGCATATTTTAAGGATCGACCAGAATACGCAGGGCAAAATATCTATTTGATTGGAGTGGAGAATCTGAAGAAAACTCTTGAAGCAAGAGGTGGAGTGCGATGTTTCGGAACGGGGCCGGATCCCTTCGTTGCTGACTCCAATTTTTCCTTCAATTTTGATACTTCTGTGATACCAAAGGCTGTTGTATGCAGTTACGACTGTCATCTTAGTTACCCGAAAATACAAAAAGCTGCAACATTTTTGAAATGCAAAGGAGTAGAATTTCTGGTGACAAATGAGGATTATACATTCCCTGGACCTGATCCAAATATTGTCATCCCGGGGGCTGGAACATCCTCAGCAGCAGTTCGAGCCGTTTCGGGACGAATTCCTATTGTAATTGGAAAACCACACAAGCCAATAGCTGATTATTTGAAAAAACACCATCACATTGATGCCTCGAAAACAGTTATGTTTGGCGATCGGCTGGACACCGACATACAGTTCGCAAATGAAAATGGCTTCACTAGTTGTTTCATGCTTACTGGGGTGAATACGATGGATGACGTGATAAAGGCGGAGCAGCGGGGACAGAAACATCTATTGCCGACTCATACGTTCTCATTTTCTTGCTAGCATCGCGAATCTATCTCTCATATTGGATTATATTTTGCTTTTCGAAATCGCAGTCTTGTTCCTCTTAGAAGAATAAGATGTTATAAGTGTTAAAATGCATTCCTGTGTATCCTCTATTGTTCGTTACTACATTAGCTGCTCTGATACGCCGATCATGGACCATGCTATATCGTGTAAATCACTGTGCCATCTTTTCAGGATGAATTTCAAAGAATATCTCATAACTGTTGACCGTGCGAGCTACTCTTTTTCTGTTATGTCCTTTGACCAGCTATTGTCGAGATGTAGTCAGTCTTTAGGTAGAATAATAAAGTTTAGATTTTCTACGACCAACGCTGTGTGGAAAAGTGAAGATGTGAAAGAAGGTAAAGGGGAGAAGGCGCCCGAACAACCAGCAAAACCACAGGGATGGATCAGCAAGCTATTGGTATGCACTATCAGTCATACTACGATTTCTTTTTATGATCTTCTTCTTTGTTACGTGCTTGTTTAGAGCGGACAGCCGGTGGATCCGACCGGTTGGCAGAAACAGAGCCATTCTAGCCTTCTCAGCACTTCTGAGCATATCTATGAGTTTGCTAGTACGTGCTTTTTTCTCCAGTTGCTTTGTTGAACAATTAATTTAATCTTTAGCTCACAATTATCGTCCTGGAGAAAAGGACAAGTACCTCGAAGTGTTTGGCAAATACAAGCAAGAGCTGAGCGATAAAGCAAGTTTTTTAGTTTGCTTTTATTATTGTTATGGTCATTCAGAAAACTAGATGTTTGTGGAATAATCTTTATGTTTAGCTGCCTTCGATAGCATTAATTGGATCCTGGACTGTGTCTTATGGTAGAACGCGAGATCAAGCTATCCACCTTTATCGGCACACAAATGGATACAAAGATGTGGATAGGTCAGTTGGCACTTTTTTCGGTCTCGTCGCCTTTCGTTGTAAGCTCTGAACAAGCATCAGGCTAGTCAATAGCCTTGTTATGGCCTAAGTTTTGCTTTCATGTTCAAATATTCTCTAAAACCTAAAGATAGCTAAATATATGTGTCTTGCTCTACGGGCAAAGTGCATGCACTTTCACAATACGATTTTTACTCGAGCGAACTTTGATAATACGGGCAGAGTATGAGTCATCTGCACTTTTAGTATACACTATAAAACTGCTCATTTTTCCGTGTTGCAATGATTGCTTGATATCGGTTGTCTTTGTATGTTTTGCATATTTGAATATT